CTACCAACCGCTCCTCAGAAACCCTATACAGGATTGCTATGAGTCAGAACTGACTCTCCGGCCTTTAACAGCTGCTGGGGGGCTGGGGGGATTGCCACTAGATGCTGAGTGTGGCAGGACAGGGCCTGCCTCTGAGGACTTACTTCCTGCTGGTGAGGATTACACCATCCCAGGACCCCACCCCTCCAGTGGTGCAATACTTAACATCCTCAGCTCCTTTGATCCTCCCCAGAGGTACTTACTCCAAACAAACAGCCCTGAAGGATAGGGCAAGAGCTAGTTATAATGTCATTTAAAATGTTTACAAAATTTTAGGTTCAGGCTTCCTCCTTTCATTCAATATGTTCAGAGTGTTAACCCATGGTTGTTTTTTATGGCCAGTATTGCTGTTGAGAAAAGTCTGATATCATTGTGGCCTTTGGTACTTTGTACAAGAATGTGAGGGAATCTGAGGCAAATCCAGAAAATGGATATGACCAGGAGATAGCTATTTATTGGGGTGGGTGTAGTGACAGCCAGCTGCAGGTCCCTGCCCCCTCAGGTACTGTGAGGTGAAGTCTAGTAGAACCAAGGTTGGGAGGAGGAAGAGGGCATGAAAACCCCTAGGGAAGAGGAAGAGGAGCCTGTGTGTCATTAGCCGGTGTCCCCCTGCAGTAAGGTGAGGAGACTCTGGGACAGAGACCTCAAAAGGCAACAGCACCAAGATCTGATATCATCCATGGCTGGTGGATCTGGGACACTCGGAGTCGACTTGTTAGCCCTTAACATCTACCACCACAGCAACAACTGCATGTCAGAGTCCTGGTGCGGTGCTGTAGGATCAGCCTTGGACTGCTAACTGCACAGTCGATGGTTCAAACCCACCAGCTGCTCTTTTGAAAATTCTATACAGGGTCGCTGTTAAGTCAGAACCGACTGCACAGCACTTAACAACAGCCATGCCAGATGTCAGGTACAAACTCTGGGAGTACATAAAGCAAGCAGGCTCTAACTGGCTAAAAAATTTCCTTTGGGGGCTATTTTTAAACCAATTGGATATGTGCAAATTTGAGTCTGGCACCATCAGGCTGTTTTGTGCTAATGGCCTCTCAGCTTGCATGAAGGTCAACAGCTTGAGATCAACACTGGTAGGCTCTTTTTCTCTGCAAACAGGTGTTCCTTGTATCTGCTTTTCTTACATTTTACTATAATATATAAGAAACTCTGGTCATGTAGTGGTTACAAGTCGGGCTGCGAACCTCAAGGTCAGCAGTTCCAAACTACCAGCCTTTCATCCATGGGAGAAAGATGAGGCTTTCTACTCTCATAACGATTTACGCTATACAGGGTAGCTATGGATAGGAACCGACTCCACAGCACACCACCACCACGATCGTTTTGTTGTTGTTAGGTGCCATCGAGTCAGCTCTGGCTCATAGCAACTGGCTGAGCTCTATAGAGCTGCTATGACAGAAATAGCACAAGTGGATGGCTTTAACAAACAGGAGTTGATTCTGTTTGAGAGGCCAGAAGTCCCAATGCAGAGCAATGCCTCTAAGAAAGGGCCTTACTGCCTTTCAGCATCAGTGGACCCAGTATTCTTTGATGTTTTCTATGTGTCTTGGCATCCATCTTCCTCTGGATCTAGGAGCTTCACAGGGCAGGGGGTCCAGGTCCAAGGACCCACTCCACACCTGGCTCTTCTTTCTTGGTGGTGATAGGTTCCTCCATCTCGGCTCAAGTCTCTCCCCTGTTAGCTCTTGTAAGATCAAAGGGTTGCAGGCCACACCCCTGGGAGTCTCCCTTACATCACATTAGGGTGGTGGTGGAATTAAGGGTGTATCTCACCCTTAATCCTCTTACTTGTTTATCGCATTAAATGTCATCATGGGGGGTAGCTACATTTCAACTGACAAACATCCGAGAATTCTGGCTCAGTCCTATTAGCATAAGATCTTTACTATCACAGAGGCCCCCTCCCCCCCATGTACAACAGAATGAAACAGTGTCTGCAATCCTCACAATTGTTGTTAAGCTTGAGCCCAATGCTGCTGCCGCTGTGCCAGTTCATCTCCTTGGGGTCTTCTTTTCCACTGACCCTCCACTTTACTAAGCATGATGCTCTAAGTACATGTTTCCTTATCTGTCTTAATGACATGCAGGGACAATTTCTTCATTATTTCTTACAGCATTTCTCTCTTTCCATTTCAGTTTTTTATACTATTTCAGTTGTTTCTTTGTAGGGGTACGGAGCAGGGGTAAGACCGCTATCATTTGGATGATTTCATAAGTTATATTTTGATTTTTTTTATCCTCATTCTTTTCTTCCTGGGTGTTCTACTCAATGTGATCTTCCTACCTGCCAATTTCTCTTTCTGTTTTCATCTGATTTTTAAAATCTCATTTCTTGTGTTCCATACCTGGTGTAGCGCTGTGGGCTAACGCGTCAGACTGCAAAGTCATTTGAACTGCAAGGTCAGTGGTTCAAGCTCACCAGCTGCTCCTTGGAAACCCTATGCAGGTTCGCTATGGGTTGGAATCGACTCAACAGCACTAAACCACAACATACTTCACAATGATGCTTTTTGCCTAATATTTCCCATTGTTCCATTTTACAGTTTAAAAATTTTTGTCTCATATTGTTACTCTTTTTTATTGACTGCGTTCATCATGCTGGTCTCTGTTTGAATACTTTTACTTCCATTGGTCTATATATATATTGTTATTGTTGTTGTTTTGTTTTTATTTTGTGCAGGGAAGCTGTATTCCTAGAGGGTATCAGCTGTTCTGTGTGGCACTGATTCCTAGAAAAAAGTCTAAAGTCAGGTCCGGCCATGGTCGACAGTTTGTCCCTGGAACAGTGTTATTCTCCTTCTAAGGAATAGGGAAGATGGTAACGCTGTGCAAAAGAGGTTAGAAAGACAAGAGGCTTAGGGAAATGAAAGTTAGGTTCGTTACAAGCATAGACATTCTTACAGCCAAATAAGGTGGAGCCCCAAATACAATTTGGCTTCTCCTTTATATATCCCTTTGTCAGGGGAGTGGGCTCTACTCCTAGTTCAATTGCCCAAGGAGCCAATCTGGGGACTTGGTCCATAGACAGTTTCCTTGAGTCTTGTTTTTCAGGTTCCAGCTTATTGCTAACTAACTTTATTTCCTTTTGCAGACAGTCTCCTCTCTTCCCCACCCCTCTTTTTAGAAGCTCCTCACTGCTGAGGTTGGTTTCTTTCCTGCTGAGACAGACCCTACCTACAGTGACATGCAATCACCTTCCTTCCCTGTTCTAACTACCTAGTAATCCTAGTCTTTGCTAGGCCCAGGAAGGTCAAGCGAAGGAGAGGCAATACATCTAGTGAGTCTAAGATACCACGCTTAATCCATTTGTGTTTTTTATCTGCCCACCAGGCAATGAGCACAGCCCTTAAGACTGCATTTGCTATGCACTGCAAAACTCCAGGGGACCCTCCTCACTCAGGCTATGATACAAGTGGCTTCCCTACAATTGTGTAATGTGGAAGTCCTGCAGGCCTTTGCTCCAAACCCTCAGGGAGAATAGAGTTGGAAGGCTGCAGTCACCCTTGATTTTAATTCACCAGCCTTGGCTTTGAAGAAGGAAGGTGGAAGGGGAATCACTGGAGCTGGTCAGTCCATCTTTGTTGTCTTCAAGGTCTTCCAGCAGAACTTTGGCAACTTCCCTGAGTTTACCTCCATTGGATGCCTCACGCCAATGCCAACAGTTTCTTCACTAAGGGTACAGACCATGATTGTTCCAAGGCACTAGTCTTAAACTGCCTTGTATTCTTTTACCCGTTCACATTCTCTCCCAGCTACTGTAAGCCCTGGACTAGGAATCCTTCCTCATACCAATTCAAAACAACTGTCCATCTTTCTATGAATTTCGCCAGATTTTTTGTATAGATTCCCCGATTCTGTGTTTACCTGTAGAGTTTTTCCAAGGCCGATTTGTTGGAGGAAGCCAATAACCATTACTTCCACATTGGCAGAGCTACACTGAAGCCCTTGTCTTCCTTTAAAAAAAAAAAATGCTTTTTTATCATTAAACATTTGCTATCTTATTACAAAAGTAATCTATATTTATTTTGGATAAGCGCCAAGACTATTACTGCTGCCCATGTGTTACCGTGGTCAACATTCTGGTCTGTCCCTTCATCGCCTTTTTACTATTTTATGACACTGGACTCTCAACTTCATTCATATGTGAGTAGGATGGGCATTTCCCAGCATTCTAATATACTAGTTCACTGAAACATTTTTGCCTACGTAACATTGTGTCATCCAGAGAAAACATAATCTAATTTTCTACCGTTGGGTTATTCACCCCTCCCCTTTATTATGTATTGTTCTGTGGTGATGAATTTTTTTATTGACTCCTTCTGTCACTCCTGGTAGAATGGCGTAGTCAGTTTAACACTTTCCTTGAATAGAGTCTTGTTTCTATTATACAATCTGGCTCTAGGACCTGTGTTGTTAGGAGCATAATCTTGGAGTCAAGTACACATGGATTTGAATCCCAGTTCTACTTTTGACTTAAACACCAGTTGATGGCAAGTCGAGTATGATTCATGGTAACCCCCTGAATGCCAGACTGAAACTGGGCTCCATGAGGTTTTCAATGGTTGGTTTTTCCGAGGAGATCACCAGAACTTTTTTCCAAGGCACCTGTAGGTGGATTTGAACCATCAGCCTTTAGATTTAGCAGCCAAGCCTGTTAACCATTTGCACCACCCAGGGGCCCTTTGGTGTTCTTCTTGCTAGCTCTGTAACTTGGAGCAATTTTCTTAATCTCCCTGGAGCCGCTCTTCTCTTATCTGTTAAATGGAGACACTCACTGTTGCGAGTATGCAAAGCCCTCAGCCAAGCATCTAACACAGAGAACACTCAGGTTTGAATGTTGTTTGGTTATTTTTGTCTTGGTTTTGTTTCTTATTAAGGCAAACCTCTTGGTCACTCAACCTCACCAAGAACTAGTGGTCTGAAACCCCCTCCTCTTCTCCCTACAGCCCAGCTCCATCAGCTGGAAGGGCTGAGAACCATTGGCGTCACCACCAACGGCATCAACCTCGCCCGGCTGCTGCCTCAGCTTCAGAAGGCTGGTCTCAACGCCATCAACATAAGCCTGGACACTCTGGTGCCGGCCAAGTTTGAGTTCATTGTCCGAAGGAGAGGTGATGAGATGTGGCTGGTAGGAGAGGGTGGCCAGGGCCCAGGTAGCTGGGGAGCATGTAGTCAGTGGCAGGTGAGGGGCCTGGCCTCCCCCTTGGTTTCTGGGTTATAAATGAGCCCAGGTATTTACTCTTCCCCTTCACCCCTGTTAACTGCACTGTGTCTCTGTAGCCACACCCTTGGGGACTTCTTGAGATCACATTCTAATCATCTAGGTTAACCAACTGCTGTTTGTGTATAGGCTGGGAGCCAAGAATGGATTTTACAAATTTACATTTGCCATCCATTTGATGATATAGAACAGTAACTTTGAACTCCAGTTAAGCAAAATGCATCCTGCACAACCCTCTCAAAAAATTCCTTTTCTCTTTTGTAGACCTGTATTATGAAAAATTGTGCTTGATTATATTTTGAATTTCATCAGTGAGAAATTTATGACATGTTATTGCTGTTGTTAAGTGCTGCCAAGTCGGTTCCCACTCTTAGTGACCCTGCTGTACGGGGGTTCCGAGGAGCTCCTGGTGAGTTTGAACCGCCGCCCTCGGGGTTCACACTGACCTTGAGATCCAGTGCTTATCTTACTGCACCACACCAGGACTCATTTATGACATATACCTACATAATAGTCTTCCTCTTGGCCTGTAAACCTGAAAATATTTGCTACCTGACCTTTTACAGAAGACAGACTAGGGGCTCTCTAAGGTTCCTCACGGTGTGTGTGTGTCCCTGTGGGTTGGGGGGTGTGGAGTGAGAGGAGGTTCCTGGAGCTTCTTCCTTTCTCACTGCAGGCTTCCACAAGGTCATGGAGGGCATCCACAAGGCCATTGACTTGGGCTATAGCCCTGTGAAGGTGAGCTCCTATGATGTTGCTTGCTCCAAATTCCTACCCCTACCCTGGTATGGCCTGCCCACCCAGCTCCTGACTAGGACAGATTCCAGCCCCGCTCAGGCAGCAGAAGTATATGTACCCCTCTACTACCACTTCCTTGTCATCACATCCAGGCCTGGCACCCCCATGAGAAAGGGAGGACTATCATTGACCCCTGGAATTCCCCAGCTAAAGGAGAACTGGAGGGGAGACAGGAATGGGTCTCCCAGTGGAGAGCCTAACCAGAGGTCATTCGCATAGAGGAATGGAAGTGGCCCACCCTCACGTCCCATTGTCCCCTGGCCAGGTGAACTGTGTGGTGATGCGAGGCCTAAATGAAGATGAGCTCTTGGACTTTGTGGCCTTGACCGAGGGTCTCCCCCTGGACATACGCTTCATAGAGTACATGCCCTTTGATGGTCAGTGACATGGGGACTGGGCAGACCCAGGTCTGGGCTGGGATGGGACTTTGGGTCCATTTTAGTCAGGGGTCTCCTGACCTTCCACAGGGGAGGCTGGAAATTAATACCTGTACTCTGTGAGAGGATAGAAGGAGCCCTGGTGGCACTGTAGGATAAGCACTGGACTGCTAACCACAAAGTCGGTGGTTCAAATCCACCAGTGGCTCCATATAAGAAAGATGGGGTGCTCCACTCCCATAAGATTGACAGTCTTGGAAACCCTCTAGAGGGTCGCTATGAGTTGGAACAGACTTGATGACAGTGGGCGGGGGGGTGGGGTGGGGAGAGGGAAGGGTGGATGGGAGGATGAACTTGAGGACTCTGAGGTCCCGTCTGCTCTGTAATTCAATCATTCCTCCTGCCTCCCCCACCCAAATACAGGCAACAAGTGGAACTTCAAGAAGATGGTCAGTTATAAGGAGATGCTGGATACGGTGCAGCAGCGGTGGCCCGAGTTGGAGAAGCTGCCGGAGGAGGAGTCCAGCACAGCTAAGGTTGGGAAATAGGCAGGGTGAAAAGGTGTGTCTCCACCCTAGAGAAGAGCCAAACTGAGGTCAGGGTGCAGTGGTGTGGAGGCATGATGGTACCGTCTCAACAGCCTCACTGTTTGATGGATAGTGGAGCAGTCTTGGTGGGTGAAACAATTGGCTATATATAGGGCACGCTCTCCAGTGGGTGGTGGATATTCTGCCCACAGGTCCTGTCACCTGTACAGGGTTCCCTGAGGGCAGATGTCGCTGCCTGCTTCAGAGAGCTCATGGGTCGTCAAAGCCAGAGCCTTGTTACAGGCAAGCTCCTCTGGGCAAGGAAGATGCAGTAAGGCCTCAGTTGACCAGAGAGAGGGCTTGGGCTCAGGCTCAGGAGCTTGTCTCCATCCCTCTAATTTTCTTCCCTTCCTTTCCCTCCAGACCTTTAAGATCCCAGGTTACCAAGGTCAGATCAGCTTCATCACGTCCATGTCTGAGCACTTCTGTGGGACCTGTAACCGGCTGCGAATCACCGCTGATGGGAACCTCAAAGTGAGCATCCTTCCTCCAGAGAATCCCCTTGCTCCCTTGTTCAGACAGTCTCCTTCCCCTGTGTTCCTGACTGGAGGGGTTGCTAGCTGGGCCCAAGGGGTAGTTGGTGAAATAGTATCAGAGTTGAGGGCATTATGGTAGTAGCAGGTGAGGGTGAACTCATGGCCCCTGAGGAACTCTCACCCTGATTCCTTCCTGCCTTGGGTCCCTAAAGTAGCTTCCAGTTGATTGTTGCCACCAGAAAGCAGGGTGATGCATCTGGGGACACTTTGCTTGGCTGGCTCCTCCCACCAGGCCAGGGCTTAGCTCTGAATCCTGCATCAGTTCCTTACTTAGCCCAGAGATCATCAGCATGTTCTGTGTGTGTAGCCCTGGTTGGAGGGGAGGTGGTGGTGAGGGAGGCAGAAGACATGGCCATGCCCATTAGGAATCTAGAGAGTGAACCAGAGATAATATGATGTAGCAGCACAGGCATCTTTGTCAAAGTTTTGGTCACAGAGACTGTGAGGTCTCTGGACCTTGAGGAGGAACTGTGCAGACATTGGTGAGTGTGGGAAAGTGGGTGAAGTAGAAACGAGGGGAGGAAAGAATATATACTTGGGATTCAGACTAATTTGACAAGGGGGAATAAAAGCTAGATATTATGAGGTCTCATTGTAGAGGTTGTTGAATGCCCAGATAAAAGATGAAGAATGTGTTCTGTTGACAGTAGGACACTGGGAAGGCTTCTGAGTCCATACCCATGTTTTAGGAAGACTAACCTACAACTTGGATCTGGAGCTAGGGCAACAGATTGGATTGCAGTATTCCAAATATCTAAGAGTGTGCGGTAGTGATGGGAAGAGAGAATCAGTGGTGATGTATGTGGAAACAGAAAAGAAGGGGCCAGAGTTGCTGGTTGGCATAGGCCTGGGCTTGGATTGGGAGAGAGTGATGGTGAGGTGGGTTTAAAGGCATCAAGTTACACATCCAATTAGAACCATCCAGCAGGTTGTTGAAAAGCTCAGGGATTCTTTTCTGGGCTGGAGATGTACAAATTGACTTGGACCACAGGTGATATTGGAGTCCTGGTGTAGTGCTGTAGGATAAGCACTGGACTGCTAACTGCAAGGTCAGCTGAATTTAAGATGCCATCTTCATCAGCTCTTTATTGTTAAGCTACCAAGCAGGGAGCCCGAAGATCAAATTACTGTCAGGGAAGTTTGGTCATGTACATGAGTGAGGAATGAGAAGAAGACAGAGGTGAAATGGAATGCGCTGAGGGGTTGGCCAGGATGAGTCCTCCAACTGATCGGGGTCCATTCTCCTGGTAATAAAGGGTCATCCCACTGAATGTGTCTGGAAAAGGTGCAATCTGCACTCTTATGAGCCACCACTGTTGATGGAGTCCTGGTGTGGTACTGTAGGATCAGCACTGGACTTCTAATCATAAGGTTAGCGGTTCAAACCCACCAACTGCTCCTCAGAAACCCTATAGAGGGTCACTGAGAGTCGGAACTGACTCGATAGCACTTCACAATAACAGTAATATCAACAGGAGCATCTCTGTTGACAACTTTACTTTTTTCAGGTAATATTCCACAAGCTGAATGAAACATGGCCACAAGTCAGATACAGCCCTTAGGATGCCTGGGTTTGCCTCCTACCCTTCCAGCCTCTCCGACCCCTCCTTCTAGCACTTTCTAGTCCCCAGTTACCAGGGAGTCTTGCCTGGATTATGAACCTGCCATGAGAGACCTGGGGCACAGCAGTATTGGTGGGGATCATCAGTTCAGAGGCTAGATGGGCAAAGCTCAGGGATGAAGGAGACAGAGTTGCACTCATTCCCATGGTAACCCCTTTAGGTCTGCCTTTTCGGGAACTCAGAGGTATCTTTACGGGATCACCTGCGGATGGGGGCCTCTGAGGAGGAGCTGCTGACTATCATTGGTGCCGCCGTGCGTAGGAAGAAGAGGCAGCATGCAGGTACCAGGCAGGAGTGGGGGAAGGCTGGGCTGGATGGGGGCTGGGCCATTGTTCACAGGAGGGAGGGCCGTAGCTGGAAGGTGAGGAGAAAGCTGCTGGAGGAGCTCAGTATTGTCCTGTTGAGCCTCTAGACTTGGGGTGTGCTGATGGTTCTCCTTCGCTGGGGAAGCTGGCTTAGCAGGGATTGTACAGGAAAGGGAAGCTGGCATTCACTTGGGCTGTTTTATTGAGTGGAGGGAGGAGGGGTGCTATGGCCTCTTTCTCTTCCCACATCTTGCGTTCTGCTTTAGGAGAGCCAGGTCTAGGGTGTCCACAGATTGTTCTTTAGACACTTTCGTGGACGACCTTGCAGTATAAATGTGGGGGCTATTTTTGCTTATACACAGGTGGTTGTCATATGTCCATCTGTTCACATCAGTGAACTATCCCCCCACCCTCTTCTCTCCCTCCCCATCTTTCCCTTACCCCAGGCATGTTCAATATTTCCCAGATGAAGAACCGGCCCATGATCCTCATCGGTGGGTGACCATCAGTACGTAACCACTCACCCTTGTCCTGTGGGATGGGACCCCTGCTCTGAGGCACCCTCCCTCGCCCCCCAGCTCCTGCATTGCATTCTGATGCCCTTCTCCCTATTTTTCTTTGATTCCTCTCTCATCTTCTCTCCCCCCTTCAAGCCTTTGGTGTGTCTTCTCTCCCATGTCCATGTCTCCTTCTCACTGCATGTCTCAGAAATGATCATTCTGTCTCGCCGGGAATGGGTACGGGGCTCCAGATTCCAAGATCGCTAAGATTAATTATGGAGTCCTGGTGTGGTGCTGTAGGATAAGCACTGGACTACTAACCACAAGGATGGTAGTTCAAACCCACCAGCCGCTCTCTGGAAACCCTATACAGGGTCGCTGTGAGTCAGAACTGCCTCCTTGGTACTCAACAACAACCCAATTAATTATACCTTGAAAATTGAGCAGCTGGTTAAAATAGAGACCTTCTCCTGAACTTTAGAATCCCCACCTGAGTACAATTAAACAGCCCTTGCTTTCTCACTATAGTAAGGAGCAGCCAGTGAGGAGATGTCTGGATCATTAGCCACCATTGATTAATGTATTATTGTACTTCTGTGCTAGACAGAGCTTGAGGCAGCAAGTTAATACTGTTGTTACTCACTTTTCAACAAGGAGACGGTAGGGATCTTACTGCCCCAATTTCTTAGCTCTCAGGAGGTAATGCTGACATTTTTCATGTGTATAGGAGATTCAAGAAAAGAATGCCTTTTTTCATGAAGCCATATATGGTCTCCTACCCTGGAGAATTGATCCGTGGTGAGCTTTAGGGATTGTTATTCCCCTGGTATAGTGTCCAGATTAGAGACAAGTAGAGCTTTGGCCTGTGACCACATCAGATCTGGGTTTCCTGTCTCTAGAAGTTAGAGCCAAGTGAGCGAGCCATGTAGCCCAGAGGCAAGCACTAAGAGAAAGCTCACCAGTCAACCAGAAAAGGAAACGATCGTTTCTCTTCTCCAGGCTCTAGTGTCATAGTCATCTCATTGGGCTTGGACCCAGGCTGACGCACCTTCATGGCAGGGAGATTGGACCTCCCTTGTCCAGGGACACTGACAAGGCTGCGGGGGGGCCAGAGTCTGATGCAAATGCTGGAAATTGGGAGAGCGCTTTGCTTTGTCAGAACTTCATTAGCCTCTGGACTGTTGAGTAACTCAGACAGGCCTGCTTTCTATAAAGCCATGAGTCACCTAGCACAGGATGCCTCAAACTTTAATGTGCAAATTAATTACTAGGGGATCTTGTTGAGATGCTGAGTTGGGAGGTCTGGGGTGGGAGTCTGCAACTCTGGCAAGTTCTCAGCTGGTGTTAGTCCATGTGACAAGATCCTTAAGAGACCCTCTGCATGCTATGAATCAGCCTGTTGGTTTGTGTGTGGATGTCCACTTCGGATATCCTTGAGAGGACTTGAAGATATTATCTCAATAGATTAAATATTTCCTGTAGTCTCCTGTCAATAAACTAAACGGTAAGTGTTAACTCTTCATAGACAATGTAAAGATGGAAGTAACTGATCTGTAAATGGGGCTGAGACTTGGCAATCGTTTTCTTTTAAGAAAATGAAGGGACATCGAGAGGTTTCTGGTCCAGGCTTCAGCCTCCAGACCTTAGGTGTTTGGAAACAAGAGCTTTGTGATAAAGGGAGCCCAGGAGTACCCCATCCCACCTGCACTGCATGACCGTCAGAAACTGGTGGGGCTGTGGCCCCGTGTATCGTGTGTTAAGGGTTGTAAGCTTGTATGCGGGGAACCTAGATCTACGTATTTTCTATTTAATTTCTTCTCTCTATAATTGTTATCCTTCCTTCCTCTTTCCCCCTTGTGGAAGAGAGAGCTCCAGGTGAGATAGGGAAGGGGTTGTGGAGAAGGGGTGGAAAGAAGAGTTCTCTTTTGGGCTTAGTCTTTCTTCCCTGTCCCTCTTGCTTTCCAGAGTTCTCTTTGATGCGCCAGGATTCCCCACCAGCCATTCCAAGCGTTTCTTCCTGGGACTTCCTTCGTGGTCAGAATCTGAGACCCAGAGTGAGTTTCTCCAACCAGATGGCAACTTTATGGAAAGAATACAGGGTTCCCCAAATTCCTCTCCTAGCCCAGCAGTGGCTGGGACCGGGCTCCCCTCAAAGACACTATAGCTCCCTCCCAGACTCAGCCACCAACTCAAAGTGCCTTAACCCAGGGTCCCAGGCTCCTGACATGCCCTCAGGACCCATGCCACCCTCGGGCCAACTAAGCCATGTGGACACGGAAGGACGGGCAGCCATGGTAGATGTGGGCAGGAAGCCAGACACAGAGCGGGTAGCAGTGGCCTCCGCTGTGGTCCTGTTGGGGCCTGTGGCTTTCCAGCTCGTCCAGCAGAACCAGCTCAAGAAGGGAGATGCCCTGGTTGTAGCCCAGCTTGCTGGAGTCCAGGCGGCCAAGCTGACCAGCCAGCTGATTCCTCTGTGCCACCATGTGACCCTGAGCCACATCCAGGTGCAGCTGAAGCTGGACAGCACGCGCCATGCTGTGGTGATCCAGGCGTCTTGCCGAGCCCGAGGCCCCACGGGAGTGGAGATGGAAGCTCTGACCTCGGCTGCAGTGGCTGCCCTCACCGTGTACGACATGTGCAAGGCTGTGAGCAGGGACATCGTGCTGGAGGAGGTCAAGCTCCTTAGCAAGACTGGGGGCCAGCGGGGGGACTTCCACCAGACTTAAAGCTTCTGTCCTCCACCCCCATGGTCCAACTAGGCTAGCAAGTAGGTCCAATTGGGCCAATGCGGAGAAGTCAAGTTCTTTAATACAGAGAGGAAACCAGCCAACCCCTAAACCTCCCAGGAAACCAAGGCTCTGGTGTAGAGTTACAATACGCGATTCGAGAGAACCGAAAACCACGTTGTGTCATCTATGGACTATTTCAGACGAACCTATAGCTTCCAGTTCTTATTTTGGATTTTCTCTTCTCCTGTTTCCCCGGGGAGGGGGAGGATTAAAGGCATGTTAAGTAGTAGGATCCCCTTTAACTAGGGAAAGCACCTGCTCAGATAAAGAATGTTTCCAGGCACTGCTGCAGCTGACCCTCCCCACGATTGAGAGCAGCTGCAAGTCCGCCCTGCCCCACCTCTCTGCCCTTCTCCTCTGAGTCAATTTTCCCCTCCTTTTGCTTGAGTCCATCTCATCAAAAGCCCACACTGTTGATGGAACAGTTACACTGCTCTGCCAGCTCCCTCTGCGCAGGCCCCTCCTTTGACAGGACATACACCTAGGCCTCAGCCCTAAGGACTTGTGACCACACCTGGCCCTGCTCACTGCCACTCTGCCCACACCACTGGATTTTGGAACAGCCCCGGGAATGAAGAGAGTGAAGATGGAGCACACAAATAAAGCCACCATGCCAGTTCTGGCTGAGGGTGGTGTCTGCACTGTGCCATGCCATGATCCCATACCCTGCCCCCTCCACCCCCCACCCTCTGAGAGGGCAGGGGAGACTCCCAGGGGAAAAAATGTAGGTGTGGAGTGGGAGGCACAGACATTCACCAGTCCAAGTAGATCTAAAGTAAATTATTTGTCAGATGGGCCTTTTGAAAACTGACTTTCTAGAAGCAGATCACCAGACTTTTCTTCTCAGGCACTTTGGTGGGTTCAAACCACCAACCTTCCAGTTAGCAGCCAAACACTTAACCATTTGTGTCAGCCAGCAGTGCTTATTAGATATCAGAGGAAGTACAATTTGAGGCTCCCAATTTTCACATCTCCAAACACTGGCCTGGCCCTCCAGGGTCTCCACCAAAGATGGGTTTCGTTGGATCTGTCTTCAGCAATGCTCTCTACTTGCCTCCCCTTTGCCGGATAGTAAGGGGTACTGGTAAGCATTCAGCAACTTTGTCTCCAGAAAAGAGAAGGCCAGTTTCCATGTATAACGTACCAATTTTGAGTTACAAATACAGCATCAACTGGCTTGCAGAATTCCTGCAACAGTAAGCATCTCTCGTGAAACTGGTAAGAGTTGTTTCTGGTATACACTGTATGCTACGCCCACTGTCCAACCCACTCCAGGATCCCTCCTGGGAAGAAGGCACAGGCTTCAAGGCAGGCTGGATAGGGACAGTATGGATTTAATATTTTTTTAGTATTACCATATATTCTTACATAAAAAAGATGCAGATGAAAAGGACACTGCAGATTTTGTACATTAGACTCGTTTGTCCTCTGAGATAGCTGGTGAGGGCAAGGCCGGCAGGAAGGCCTCCCTAGTAGAGGCATGTGTGGGGGTGGGAGGGGGTGGTCACAGTGCCCTGTTTGGTACAAATGGGATGGGAACAGCCTGACCCAGACCTCTTCCCATCCATCCCAGGGCAGCGGGGAATGGGTACTGCCACTGAGAAGGCACCTAGGTGTGTTGGGTTGACTATGAATTTTACATTGGACACAAATCAGTAGGTAAGATCTACCGACAGGTGGCAGGAGGGGTGGGCAGAGGGCTGGGGAAGACAAGGCCAAGGACCAAATGTAACAGACCTCAGCATCTAGCATATCATGGATCAGCTCAGCCGCCTCCATGGGGCACCAGCCCCTTCTAGCTGAGGGAACCACGATGGCCCAGGATCCAAGGCACTGTTGGAGATCTGGCTACCGTGGCCTCTGGCACCAGAACTAAAAAATAATAAATAGAGGAGGAGCAGTCCTTGGGGGAGAAAGGCCTGGGCCTCTGAACACTGTACGTGCCCTCTGTAAACAGGTTAACAGTGCTTTTCTGCACACTGAATGTGTCAGGAACAGTTCCCACGTTCTTTGTCTTTGCTGGTAGAGCTCCAGTCTTTCATGGCGGCTGGAATATCAGGGTTTGAAAATACCTGTAGCCCCCCTCTGTTTCCTGGCAGGTGAGGGGTCCCTCAGCTTGACCAGCTTAGGAGAGGACCGTAGGGAGCCCACCCACAACCTCCCCAACACTTGCTTCCTGCAGCCGGGGCTCCTGGGTGTACAGATGGGTGTAACAAAGCTTTCTGCAGCTGGTCCTCCTGGAAGCCTGCATCTTGCCCTCACCTGGACTCCAGGGTGGCCTCTTCACACTTGTCCTAGCCAGGCTTGCACTTGCTCAGGTCCCTCACTCCCACCAGAACACACACACACACTCACTCAAACCAACACACATGCTGGGCTCACCAAACCTGTGTTTCTTCCACCACAGCTGTGGATTGCACTCCCAGGAATGTAGTGTAGGGGAAGCAGAAGGAAGGCAGCTAAAGAGTGGGCCCAGCCCACAGTCGGTCCACTGGCAAAACCCTGAGCCCCAAGGATTGGGTGGGAAGGTGAGAGACAAAGGGAAGGAAGGGCAGGAGGCTGAAGGACGGGAGCTGGTTGATGGGTCAGGCAAGGCTGGTCTCAGACACAGGATGAAAGGTCACATCTGTGGGGGTGGGTATGCATTTAGCCTTGGCTGGAGCTGACCTCACCCTCCTTTTAGAAGAGAAAATTTGTCGAGCTACAGCCATCATCTGCCCTCCATGGATAGCTCGAGATGTACAAACCAGAAGGTAGAAGTGGACAGGAGAACCAGAGGAGGCCCCTTGGAAGTCAGATTGAAAATCAAATTGGGTAGCAGAGATGTGGAGTGGGAGACCTCTCTTAGCTTCTTCCTTCAACTCTGGGGCAGTCTGCCTTCCTCCACCTCCAGCTCCCTCGCTTCCCCCACCTGCTCTTTGCTCACCACCGCCATCTCTCCCCCACCTCTGCCACCTCTGGCCCTTGGGACTGACTCAAGAACTGACTTAACAGAGCACATGTGGTTCAAAATGGTCTCCTGCAGGCTTGATGGAGTGGAAGATAAGGAGGACAGGAGCCCTGTGATGTGATGTGATGTGATGTGATGTGATGTGATGTGATGTGATGTGATGTGATGTGATGTGATGTGATGTGGTGGAACAGGGTGCTCTCGGGTAGAGATGTTACCCTCCGGTGAGGGGCTATCAGGAACTCCTAGGCAACACATGAGGTCTCTGTCTCACATCAAGACAGTGGTCAGATTGTGTGGAGGATGTGGGAAGAAGGATAGGCCATTCCTGGGTCCACGTGCAACACATGAGGTGGAGCCATGAATGGGGTCTTTCTTAGAACTTCCTCCCAGATCAGATCTACAGTTGGATCCAAAGATGAGCTTTCTGGAACTATGGATTACTAGGAAAGATGGAGGTGGGGGTAGGGAAGGAAGGAAGACTTGAGACAGGCAAGAGAAAGGCCAATGGAATCTCGATGCAGGGAACAGGCACTTGTAATCTGTGTCTTTGTATCGTTCTCCCAACATCCCCCCCACCCCTGGAGTAGATCAGAGTTGATCTAGCTAGAATAACTGTCTCTGCCTTTTCCACCCAAGAGGAAAGTTCACCCCCAGCTCTGAAGCTTAGCCTGACATTCCAAGACTCTTGAGGGATGGGAGCTGGCACTTCCTCACCCTGGCTCCCAGGGACCCACCCCAACCCTGTTATTCCCCACTACACATGAAATCTGAACAAGCTCCATAGGCCCCTCAGCAATACTTAACGTTCCCATGGTTGGGGACGGGGAACAGAGCCCACTTAGCCTGTGGATACCTGACTACTGGCCTAGGGCTTGCCAGGGATGGCCAAACCATCCTCAAAGAATAACTCCTGGGGTCCAGGATGCAGAAAGAAAACTGTGAAGGGAAATGAGAAAAGCCCCCTGAAGGGAAACGTGAGGTGACCCCTAGTCCAGCCATGCACACGCCCACCCTCTCCTCAGGACCCAGCCCGGGGTTCTGCACCAAGCACCATGGTGTTTAATCATCACTACCTCCACACCCAGCTCCTCTGGACCCCAGCCCTCTCTCCCGGCCTCCTGCTGTGGCCAGTCCCCAGGTCAATAATTTAGCCTGTTTATTGCCCGCTCTCTAGTGACTTCCAGGGCCTGGTTCCCTGATCGTTTGCGGCTGCGCTTGAACTTGCTCAAGTCCTTGTCAAAAACTTCCCCCGAGCGCAGGGCCGACACCAGGTCATCGAATTCGCCTCCTTCCTCCAGTGCACTGCCTGCGAGGACCTTCCGCTGCCGCTGCCACCGTTCCCGCTCCCTCTGCTCCTTCAGCTGGGGGTGTAGAGAGCGAGAGGAACCTAGTGTGAGTGGGGTGGAGGCCGATGTTTCCCCAAATGGTTATGTCCTAGGCTGTGCTCCATGATGCTTGTGTTTATTGACTGGCCCCAGCTTCCTCCTCCCAGGATGCACTTGACCTCTCATCTTACTCTTCAGTCTTCACCCAGACCATCTCTCCTGGGGGTGCTGTCAGACTGTGTCTTCATACACCCTCCTTCCCAGGCCTAGCTCCAGCCCTGCCCACCCTCTCACCATAGCCTCCATACGGGCCCTCCGTTCCTCCTCCTCTCTCCTCCTCCTCATGCCCTCCAGGTCCTGCCGGGCCTCCAAGAAGGCCTGCAAGAAGGTGTCAAAGATGCCGAAGAACTCATCTGGCTGCATCTTGCTCTCCTGCTCCCCGAAGTGCATCAGAGCCTTGGCAAACTGGTGAGGGAGGAGAAGGTTGGCGGAGTGAATCTAAGACGTGGTTAGCTGGGGTCCAGCTAGAGCAGAACTCAGTCCCAGACTGGAGAGTACTGGAATGGGGGCAGCCCCTTTATTATGAGGGGCAAGGGACCAGGCAGAAGAAACGGCTTGAGGTGATGCCATGAGGTGAAGGGCAGGAGCCAGCCCTGACAGTCTGGTACAGTGATGGGATTCTCTGGGTCTGTTTCCAGGTGGGAAACAGATTAGGAGCTGCAGATTCTGGGAAATCTACTCTA